TGTTACGTAATGAATGGATATAAAGGGAAATAATAAATTAATAGCCATTACAAATGACAGTTACAAATCTTCCGTTAGACAAGCTGATATCAAGACATCTATCGCAAAATATCACAACATTTTTCGAGCGAGATTACCAAACTTTTGGAGGGAAGTGTACCTTTGTTATTCGACATTGAGAAACACAATATATCCCGATGTTCTTACTGTTGACAATCTATGCTATTATTGTAGATTTATCACTGACTTGGGAAATGTGAAAGTTCATCAACAAGTTCTGTATGTTGGGTCAACTCATCAATAAATGCCATTCGGAGCTTGCTATTTTGGCAATTCATCTATTATCCTACTAGTTCTAGCTTGCGTTATTCAATCTAAAATAAACTCCACTACCACGAGCCAAATATTCACGATCCACATATAATATGCCCGTGGTGGTCCGAATACGCCTACTATTTTATCATTTTGATATAACCTCTAATAAACCATTGGTTTTTAGAAATACAAATAAACCACTGATTTTTGAAAATACAACGTGCAACTATACAATCCCGAACATTGTTTTTGAAATCCATGGCTAAAAAAAGCTACATCTGCATCTTCAATACGTACTGTCGTGATAACGCCATTTAGAATGAAGTGTCTCATGATCTTAAGCTTCTGCTTTTAGATTCGGATTCTGTATACTATAGTTGTGAAATATATTACTTACTCTAGTGACCCTTTATAATTGACATCAATGTATCAAAGTTACTCCATGTCCAATGAATTCCGATATTTCGAGTTTTATCGTCATCAAATGAGCTGAAGCATTGGGGAAAAGTGTATTGTCTTCACTTTAAGTACTAAAAAGTTTTATTTTGGACGTTTTGGCCCACCCTGTATATGTCTTTCACATATATAAATGAAACAAGGCAAATTGACACATCTATCATACTACTAAGACGTTTTAGCCCACCCTGTATATGTGTTCAAATCGAACATGGGCATTAACATGATATATAGCAGCCACCTGATAACTTTTTATGAATGTAATGAAAAAGGCAGATTACTATATGCAACAGCTGTTAAATGGCGTTTTTTGCCCACTGTATTCTAAATCCAATTCTCCACAAGTATTTTGATAATCTTGATGAAATTGAGGAATCGCTTTTATCTCCTAGTTTTTTAGATTACCAGGCAGGAAACGATAGCTTAAAGCTGAAACCAATAATATCATGTCGGATTGACTTATTTCTACATCAAATGAAATGGGATGGAAAATAATACAATTATAAACTGGACTTTCATTGGTCAAACTAGAGGACTTTTTCTTCAAACGAGAATAATAAGTCAAAGAAATTCCGATTAAATATGTCAGTATGGTTTTTCATTATTTCAATCTTAATTGAAATCTATTTTATTCGTTCCATAACACACGTACGACATTCTTAATAACGTAAAACAAATTATCAAATTCTAACTAATATTTTAACCAATAGAACGAAATTAATTTTCCAGATAGAAATGATTGCTTTTCAAATCGCTAATCAAGGAAATCTAAATAAGAACTGTATCACAGGCAACGACCAATGCTTAACCATCCTGATACATTAGTTCTTTTTACATTACGCAATCGGATCACACACAGACGATTAATTCGTAAACGATTGCAGACTATTGAACACAGAATAAAGGTTAAACGACGGAAATGACGAAAAAATGAATATTGCGAGCAATATAATTACTGTACCCCTGGAAAAAACAATTAAGTTTCGACTCTGCGTCCTGTTTTATTGTGTTTTTCATTGATTCAACAAAACTACAGTTGAAATGGAATGATTAATACACACATACCCAGAACTTAATGATATTATCTCAGTGGGAATTCTCAAGAAAGAAAGTTATTTCATCCAGACTTGAGCCCAGCTTCCAAAGATCAAGGATGAAACATTGAATGCAATAAAATAGTTCGTATATCAATAAGCGTATTAATCTTAATACATTGCGTCTCTCAGCGCTTCTATTTAATATTCCCAACTTTAAGACAGTTCTTGCATTTCATTTTTACATGCAGCTAGGCAAGGTGTGTCCGATTACAGCCAATCCGAGCACAGTAATTCATATAAATGCACTGCATTATATAATAACCAACCCAAGGTCATCTATTGAATGGTTGTCAAGGTGACAGCTGCGCATCTCGTGCCAAGGTTGAAATAACACCTTTTTGAGGAATGATTCAGTCATCATTGCACTGAGTCCAGAGCTACGTGGTAATAGTTCTAATTCGATTTTCATTCAAGAAACCGTCACCGCCTCAACTGTAATCTCCAACTATTTGTGGAGGCGCTTGGTACTGGGCGTTCGGCGTTTGGCGTTCGGCGTCTGTAAAAATGGCAGCGTTTGACATTTTGCATGTTGATTCCTAGCTAACGCTTTTTTTATCAGCCTGTTTGATTGATTCTATTGTGTACAAAACGTTGAAACAGACTCAACGTGAAAAATATATATTCATAAAAACGTGCCATCACTTTATCACGCAAAATACACATTAGAATGTAAGAGAGCCAATTAACAACATTCCTGTTCTAGAATACTAATGTTTGATTTAGGTAATGATTCCGTAATGAAAGCCGAAAATCGAATAAATCAATAAAAGTCTTACATTTAAAATAATTGCACCATTTAAGCAAATTAAACGAAATCAAGTGAAAGAATCAACTCAAGTCGGGTCATTCAACTTGAGGTGATTGAACTGTACCAATCTAATAGATCATAATAACATTTTGTACAAGAGAGCCAAAAGAACCTGAATTGTGCTTCTTTTGGATATGATAGATTAATTATATCTAGTATGAAAGCAAAATAATGTAAACAATCCGTTGCCTCTGTGTTGATTTAGCCAATCCACATTTGATGTTTTGTCGGAAGAAGGCAGTTTAATTCGCGACAGAACACAAGGAAAAGAAATATTGTCTTGGTAAATATATAAATCTAATGGTTTTCATTAGAAAAGAAATGAAAGTTGATTGATGTGTCGACTGAGAAAATGTCGAAATACGTCGTATAGTTCCCGACCGTGGCTTTGCTTGGTAGAAAGATTTCCAACCAGATATATTTACCTTCATTAGAAAATGTCAGAAAAAATATTTTACGACAGTGACCAACAGGAGGACAATTTGCCAGATGTCCGAGGCTTGGTTTTGAATAATTACGTAAAAGTAAATCATTCCATCACCCTTTTGCAAGTAAGAATTTAAAATTTAAAGACTGCAAATCACAAAATAATCCAATTAAATTGATCAAAAATGATTTTGAGACAATGTATTTGCAAATTAGGAATGAATAACAATCCAAATGAAAATAGGTAGCCTTCTTTAGTAGCTCGTGAGAAACATTGGCTGAAGAAAAAGTAGACCATAAGGTCGCCGTAACAGAAAGTGACTGGACATTTACCTCCTGCCACTACAAAAAGGTGAAGCTCAGTAACTAACAGTGTTCAAAGATGAGGTTGGTAACCGGGAATGTTGTAAAGCCCTTCGCAACGCAATAGTGCATGCTCATACCTAGTTCCAATGTAACCTTTACATGATCTTACATTTCCCTTGCAAATTCACAATTCTTTAGTACTATGATGTTTTGCATGTTGAATATGGGAATAAAAAATCCAACAAATAATGAAACGTTTTGATAAATCCAACATATGGCAAACAACAAAGTATATAATTAGAATGGATTTAAAAACGGAGACAATCGCTTTGCGTATGAAATACAAGATATTCAGAGTGACAAAATAAACCGAACTTATGGACATGGGTCGAATATATAGCATTAAGCAAGTCATCTATAATGAATACATTCTAGAAAAATATCTCATGGCAAACAAAAATATTGCGTGGCAAATCAATAATATTAGGAAATATTGACACACAGACTCACTTTTCTTGATTAACCAATTCGTGAATCTTGAATAACCAATAATACAACATGACATGAAAATATACATTCTAGACAATGTCATAACCTTGATTTGTTAAAGTTAATATTTTAGTTCTGTGGTAAGTTTGATCATCGTGCAGCAATTTCTACTATGTTTTTGAACGAGATCGTATTCCTTTTGTTATCACAACGCATGCAAGATTCCTATTTGATTCAGTATCTTCCCATCAAATGCCACTAATACCAAACATAACCATTATGTGCCAACACTTCAAGCACAAATATATCATCCGGTAACCTTTCCCTTCGATATATTGAAGGCACAAACCTGTTATGTTGTGTTTAAAAAGAAAGCATGTCAGGAATTGACGCGTTCAATGCCAGGGCTCGAATTCGTTCCATATTTGAGTTATCACAAACTCAAACAAAATAATGTTTGAATTGGCGAAATAACATAATGCAATTGGATTTTTTCTGTGGCAAATAAATATATGAGTGTATTGTACAAGTCTTTTTCGAACACCACGCATTTTACCCAGTAACAAAATATACAGTTTACCTTATTAAATTACAATTAGTGAGGGTTGGTGAAAGAAGCTATGTTTGAATTAAATATGTCCTCAATGTCTAAATGTGTAAGCAAGGCAAAACGAGTATTACAAGAGTGTTACTAAAACGAAACATCTAAGTACACAAGTCATAAAGATAACAAACCAAAATGCCCCAAACTATGATCTAAAGCCCAACAAACAATGCATCGAGGACTGTCGTCTCTGAGATTGGGCTTATTTGAGCCAGGCTGTTCTGTATTCAACCTTAACGGCCAATGTTCCATTTTGGGCAAAGAGAATGTCGGATGGCATGGTGATCTCGTCTCGACCATGATCTAACTTTAGAATTAGTAATTGCAGTTTCATTTTAAGTACATATTCTAGAAATAGCAATGGAAATACAAGTTGTATACGAATATCTGGATCTCTGATTACAAGCAGGGAAAGACCTGGAGATAATGCATTTTATAAATCATTGATTTAAAATCGGTTATTGAATACTCAGTGGATCAAAGATAGTAAGATACTCACCCGAACTTGAAATTGAGACAAAACCTCCTTGTAGGAACGATGATTTGACCCCAACTGAGAAGTCGAAGAAGTTTCCTACCTGAAAAGTAGAATTATAGCTATAATTCTATGCAAGGTTTTCATAGTGGTATTGGCGCTTGTCGAGTTATAACCTGCTCTTGGTGGCCAATGATCATTTAACCTACAATTCACTAGAATATTTAAGAAGAGAGTGCTTATGAAAGATGTACAACCGAGGCAAGACTATTACATCCCATTTGTCTCCCCCATCGTGTCCACATTTGGGGAAAGAAGTGGGTATGTCAGTATCCGTATTAGTCTCCTCTACCCCAAGCCCCACTTGCCTTAAATGAACGATTACGCTTTATTACAATGGAAATCCCTCATCTGCTTAACTTGTTTTTCTTATTTGATGTGGTGTTGACAACATCTTAGTGTTTTATATTCTCTTTCCATCATTTTTCTGTAATTAAATCTAAGCATACTTTGTTGCCGTCCTTTGGTAACCACTAATGTCCAATCTCTAAAGGACCATAGATCCCTGCCACTAATACAAATGTCTCAATAAAAATCGATTTGGGATATGTGGAAAGATCATCACTTTAAAAAAAGCATATCATTGTAGTCCACTGTCCATGCAGGCAAAGCTTTTAGGAGGCTTCTCCACCGTGTTCTCATACAGGGAACAATGGGAATAAATATAGTACTAGTGGTGAAAATTCAAATGATCTCGTCATTTAAAAAGAGAAACATCTGTCTTGTTTTTAATGAATATGTTTTCTCTCATTTCGTTATAATAATATAACGTGAGTTCAAGGGTTAATGTTTTACCTTCTGTTGTAGAACCACTGCTTTCAACACTTTTAAACAGTAATATATTTCATGTGAAAAATGAGTGTACAGCTGTGTAAAAATTTCTTTTAAAAATATTCTTAAATAATTATTGAAAATTGCCCCTTGCTAAAATACTCCATTACTCGGAAAAATAAGTAAACATCCATGACACGCCGGATGCAACTAAGTTCCAATTTTGCAAAAATGTCAAATCATTCGATCATCTGTCCATTAAATACCAGGTTACTTCATTATCTTGAGATAACCACTGAATCTAAGTGGCGTTAAACCTAGCTAACTGGATTACATCATGTTTTGTACTGCATATGTTATTTTCGGGAACAAGATGACTTAAGCAGAAACGTTTTACTTTGTTCTGAGCTCAACAGGCAATACATGTCAAAATGAATCTTCTTATGATTAAGCCCTGGATACAATTATAAGAATGACCTTGTTTTATTTTTCAAAGTTCGACCAGGTGACTTGCGATTGAGTTTAGAAAAATGTAAATGCTCCAATGTGTGTTTATGAAAAAAACTAATTTTTCGAATGGAATTCAAAACGAACATGCAAAGTTCAAGATTAATTAACTATATTATTTTTATCAAACATGTAAAATTAAAGATTAATTAGGCAGATTATACATAGCAAACATATAAAGTTGAAGATTAATCAGCCAGGTTATTCATATCAAACATATGAAGTTGAATATTAATCAGCCAATTCATTCATATCAAACATGTAAAGTTGAAGCCTAATTAACCAGATTATTTATATCAAACAAATGAAGTAGAATATTAATTAGTCAGTTTATTCAAACATATGAAGTTGAATATTAATCAGTCAATTTATTCATATCAAACATATAAAGTTGAATATTAATCAGCCAATTTATTCATATCCAACATATGAATTCGAAGACTGATTAGCCTGACTATTTATTCTACTCAAAATATGAACACATGGTTGCAGTACACCCCACTAGAATCTTTCGAGGATAGGATGACTATACTATTACTCTACCTACATTAACTTGACTAATTTGTCATTGAGGAATACACTTATCACGTCATTGTATCTGTTTAGCATTTTTGATAGCATTGTCTAGATGTAGATTTATAACACTTGGGAAATGTGAAAGTTCATCAAGTAGTATAAATTAGGCTTACTCCTCCGTAAAAGCCATTGGGAGCGTAGAGTAAAGCCCTAGTCATATTTGTTGTACGGCGACCGTACCTCGACCGTAGTTTCTTGAAATCGGTAAATTTCTTCGGCGAACGTTGGTTACTGAATGGCGTATTCAGTTTACAGGCCGTAAACTCGCCGTAGACATTATAACTTGGAGTTTTAACTTTTTTCATTTCTTTGGTCACCGTGGAAATTAACAGTCCGTAGCCAGATCACAGAAAGGTTCCACGGTGGCCACACATCGGGCGTACGGTCGACCGGCTGTCCTTGAATCTATGGGATACAATTGACATTTACGAACCATGGGATCGCCGTAAGGCCTCCCTGCGACTGACTCGCGTCTACTTGGTTTTTGTCAAGGAAAACTACCCGCCTGAGGGGCTACCTTATGCTGACCGCGCGTCATCATTTTCAGCCGTACGTCTCACCGTAGCTTTCATATCTCCTCAAAAAGTAAAAATAAAAATGTGACTGCTAAATTATCTGACCGAAAAAATTCTACGGCAACCGTAGAAATGTTACTGACCGTTCCGTAGCCGTAGCAATTGTGACTGAGACTTTAGTTTCATCTCAAAAAAGTAAAATATAGTAATTGTGTGTGACGTATGGCTACCCGGTGAACTTATTTAAATCGATAACACTGTATCATAATTACACATTCTCTAAAGAATTGTATCTCTATGATGAATTGATTTTGTTATTTTATAGTTTTATCGTTTTTAAATGAGCATCTTGAGTATTACACGATACCGTTATAATGTACCTTTCCTGGGAATGGTATAGTAGTACGATACATCAGATAAAACGATCATAATCCAGTTAGTCATTTATGTATCTTACTTAAGATATTAGGAATATAGTCAAGGGCAATATGTAACGATAGATAGTGTGTAGTAAGACAGTATAATTCCTGGAGATCTTGCGTCCCATATCACCGAAAATTGAAAAATATAAATGGAACCGTACAAATACTGAAGTGCAAAAAATTGAAGTGCCCATCTTGTATTTAAATTCCATTCTTTGATCAAGTTTTCTGTTATCATCTTGGTGGAATAAGAAATCAAACACATCTTTTCGTTTTTTAGATTACCAGGCAGGAAACCATAGCTCAAGCTGAAACCAATAATAACATAGTGGATTGACTTATTTCTACATCAAATGAAATGGATTGGAAAATAATACAATTATAAACTGGACTTCTATTGGTCACAGGGTCGGACGCTTCTTCAAACGTGTATAATAAATATAAATTCTGATGATATATGTCAGGGAAGAATATTCATTACTCCAATCTTAATTGAAATCGTGATTTTATTCAATTTAGAACGAACATATGACATTTCTAATAACGAGCAACAAATGACCAAATCCTAACTAATATTAACCAATGGGGCGAAATGAATTTTCTAGTAGAAATGATTGCTTTTGAAATCGCTAATCGAAGTAGGTCTACATAAGAAGTGTATCGCAGGCAGTGATCAATGCTAACCATCCTGATACCGTAGTTCTATTTCGATTGCGCAATCGGATGAAAAAATGATTTATTTGTCAAATATTACGGACTATTGCAGAAGAAAAGGTTTAATGGCGGAAATAAAACATGTATGTTGCTATACAAATACCCTAAATCATTCATTCTCGACACTTTCGTTTTTAGTTTATTGCGTTTTACGGAATCAGCTGTAGAAGAGCGATAATCTCGTAAGTAATGTTACCCATTTCATCAAACTCAAGTTCATTTAACGTCCCTTTCTTCTTATTTCTGGAAACGCGTCGCCTCTAGGACTCTATAGCATTATCTCAGCAGTGGTTCTCAAGGGAGAAAGTTATTTTATCCAGACCTGGGTTTAGCTTCCGGAGATCAAGAATGAAAAATTGAATGCAATAAAAGAGTCCATATATCACTAAACGCATCAATCTTAATATCATATTTTGCTTCTGTTTCATTGCTTTAGCTCTTGATAAGGTGTAATTTTGTTGTATCTAAGATACTCCTGCTTATAATAAATCAAATAATCTGTAGAGAAACGTTACAATAGATTCACCTATGCTGTTAATTGATAAGATCATCTTAGCTATCCCTATTTATACTTGATATATCTTACCTGGCAGAATTACATACTAATTCTGATAAACAGTTTTCATTAATAGCATCGCTCCTAAATACTGATATGTGGATATTAAACACAGAGAGAGTATGGATATAGACTAGACGTTTCTTTTCACTTAACTTTTTCCAAAAGAAGCTCCGCGAACTGGCGCTTTACACAATTAGCTGTAAGAACTGTCAGACTTATTGATAACTCCGGGCTTTCGCAGCAGAACCACAGAGAGGTCATCGAAACTAGTTGCGCTATGTGTAAAGTGATTCATGAAAACATTGAAATCGAACCAAACGGTTAGATTCAAAACGTTTCATCCTGAAATACTTTCCTCTGAAATTTATATGGTGGATAACATGGGATTATCCCAGTCTAGTTCAAATATCTATATACAACTTTTTTCATCTTCCAAATTATCGCCAAGTGAGTTTTTATTATCCAGCTATATGTTAAATCTAGAATGAAAGCATCAAATCATATCCAAGGAGGATTGGCTCCCAGAATCGAAGTCGATATTTTCCAACAATGAAAACGCCGAGATGTCGTTATTTTCTGAAATTATAACCGATTATAAATTCAAAATAAACAGTTCAAAAGATTCGAACCAATATCTCGATCATTTCCTGTGAGTTTTGGAATTTTTCGTTAGGAAATAAGACCAAAATGCTGAAGTGAACAAAATGGCGGCTGTTGGAATTCAAATTTTGTAGCACGACATGCCCATATATGGGACAGAATATCGATGTTGCACTCTGGGAGCCAATCCTCCTTGAATCATATCTAACAAAATAGTCTGGATCTGATACATAGAAACAAGCGCGAATTAAACCACCCGATGTAAAAATATCAAGCTAGGGGTGCCAGAATTGTCACCTCGAAGCAACTGCCTTTCACAAGTAGGCTACAGCAAAACGTGTTAAATCCCACCTCTTCCATTGTCTAATGAAGACCAAACAAAGGCCCGGATGTCGTGTCGTTTCTCGTTTCGTTTGGTACACAACTAAGCCCAGGGTATTAAATAAGCCCTTGCTCTACCGGGACCAGTCAAGGGTTCGAGATTGACAGGCGTTTACTCTTCTAGATTTCTTAAAATATCTCAATGGTTTTAATAAAACTGGGACCAAAAGATTAGAGACATGTTCGAATACGCAGGCTAAACTGTAAAAGCTGAAACGATAATGACCCACGTGCATGCTTGGGCCCAAAAAACGATAATGACCCACGTGCATGCTTGGGCCCAAAAAACGATAAGGACCCAC